GATGGCCATACAAACCTGTAACATCATTCTTCCAGAAAGAAGAGGAAAAGTGCTAAATAAGCAAAGCTCGTCCTCATCCTATGAGCATGTTCAGTTTGTGCATGTGAGCATCCAGTGTAAAAACCTAGAAAACCTGAAGTGTGTTAAATTCATGCCCTTAAAGTTGCTGTCCATGCACTCTGCTCTACTGCTAACTGTATTCTGGAGATTGCATTCACACACACCACCTCAGGAACTGGAGTCTTTGTGACAATGACAATCATAAATAGATTTTAAATCTGATCTGAGATCAGTTCACTGACTCATGATTGCTTCATGAATTGCAGCCCTGTATGTCCCAGTTTTCCCAACCCTGGTCTTGGGGAACAAGTGTTTTCCTGCTCTAAAAACACACCTGTCAGCTGAGGATGGGCTTGTAAACAAGCTGATAATCTGGATCAGGTGTGTTTGTAGCAAAGAAAAACCTAAACCTAAACCTAAACCTAAAGGTGGTTTTATATTGGACTCATATTTGCTGGATATTCGACTTTCTCTCTTCAATTTCTCATGAAATAAACATGCAATAATAATCACACCTACACTTTATCCCTCTAAGAACACGGATAACAAACTACAACCAAATATATTTCTAAAGTATCCTTTGGTAAATTTTTCTGAATGTTAAGGCTCCCAAAAGCAAAACTAAGAAGGCGTTTACTTTAACACATTAAATGTTATTTTTAAAATTAAAACTAAAAATCAACAAACAATGAAACTCTTTGAAGGTTGTTGTAGGCATCTAAGGGGATCACTGACTTACTATAGATAAAATACTGGATGTAAGTCATATAGTATGAATACAGTAATACATTTACATGTAAAATTATTGCTAAAAAAGTAAGATTTGTTGTAGCAGATATTTGTTGTAGGTCTCTAGAGGAATGACTACAGATAAACTAAATTAAGTCATTCTGCATGGATACATGTACATTAAAATTTAAAATTATTACACAAATTTAAAGTGCTTCAGTGTTACTTTGTTGAGCTATGGTAGTAATTTTAAATTATAAACGTGTTACTCTATCCATGCTATACGACGTTATGTTTAGTTTTATCTGTAGTAAATCAGTCACTTCTTGTAAAATGTCATGTATACTAAGAAAAACATGACGGCCACTGCAATCTTTAACGTGTTAAAATGTAAACCTGCACAGTTTTACAGGTTGTGCACTTTTTAGATGTTCCCTTACACAGTAACGCGTCAGCGTTGTGCTGCTGGGAGCCTTTACACCCTTAGGTAAAATTTTCTAAATACTTTAGAAATATATTTGGTTGTATTTCGTCCTTCATGTTTTCAGAACAACTTAGATACGTACTACAAATATCTACTGCAACCGTTAAAAACGTTAACATGTTACTTTACTGACTTTTAACAACAACTTCATATTTTAAATTTATTACTGTATTCATGCTATATGATTGACATTCAGTGTTTTACCTGTAGTAAGTCAGTGATCCCCTTAAATACCTACTACAACCTTTAACTATTTTAAGTGTTGTTTTGTTGATTTTAAGTTATATTTTTGACCTTTACATTAAAATTGAATGTGTGCACTTTCAGACGCTCCCTTAAACAGTAACGCGTCAGTGTCTGGCTGTTGGGAGCCTTTACACTCAGACAAATGTACCGAAGGATACTTTAGAAATATGTTTAGTTCATTTTTGTTCTCTGTGTTCTCAAGAGCGAGAGAACGTAGGTGTGGTTAGTTCTGCAGCTTTCTTCATGAGGAATCAAAGAGAGAAAGTCGAATATGCAGCGAATATCCGAGATTAACTTTCCGCGCTGCTGCAGCTGAACGCGAACATCACCAGTGTGGGTGAGAAAGTCTCTGTATGAAGCTCAGAGCAGAGTCCAGCTTTAAAACACAGCAGCTTTATACCTTAATCTGCGTCTCCAAAACCGTCCCGTGACCTGCGACTAGAAGAATACAGATCATCGCTGAAAGGCCGTATCACTGTCCAGCCACTCCGCTGAGCTGCTTTCAAACAGGGTCCACAGTTCAGCACCAACAGGGAAGTGGGCGTGTCTTCAGCCCTTAAAGCTACAGCGGCCACACAAAACCACTCATTAACCCTTTAATGATCAACAACTAAACTCAGGATTAAGAAAACAACGTGCATGTTTGTTGAGACTTACTTGATAAAAATACTACACGCTTTAAAAAAAGTGGTTATTCGAGGGTTCTTTAGTAAAGGAAATGGTTCTAAATACATAATAATAGAACCATTTCATGCTTAAATGGCTCTTTGCAGGGTGAAATGGTTCCTCAGATTAATGAAGAATGTGTTGTATATAACACCAAAAAGGGTTCTGCTATTGTTACGATGTCAAGCTTGTAATAGCAGCAGAACCCTTTTTTTTCGTGCTATTTAGAGCCATTTTTCAAAAGGTTCTATATAGAAACATATACAGCACATTCCTCATCAATCTGAAGAACCATTTCACCTGCAAAGAACCATTTAAACATGGAAATTCTAAATAGAACCATTCGCCCTACTAAAGATCCCTTGAGGAACCATCTTTCTGAGAGTGTAGATTTTATATGATAAAGGAAGTGATAAACATTTTTAGCCAGATGGTTCTTCAAGGGTTCTTTAGTAAAGAAAATGGTTCTATATAGAACCATGAATGCTCAAAGAACGCTTTGCCTGATTAAAAGGTTCTATGCATCGTGAAAGCATTCTTTAGACTGATGGAGAATGTGCTATAGATGGTTCTATATAGAACCCTTTTGAAAAGGGTTCTTTTCTTATTAGGATGTCAAGCTTGTAATAATAGAAGGGCCCTTTTTTCTGACCCAGTTTAGTCTGTCCCTGAACAGGTCTTGTGCCCACATTTTCCATTTCCATGGACCTAAACGACACGGTGTATGTGTTTATTTGTAACAGCTCTCTTATTGTGTTCACTGTGTTGTCTGAGGAGTTTTTAAGTGGCTCAAACACCAACCGACTCTACACAGGTCGAGTTGATATGAGTTTTCGTGGGGGCAGCACCGCCTACTGGCCAGAGCGTAGACTGCTTTAAAACAGACACGAAAGAAAAGAATAAAACGTGAGAAGAATAAAGCGTCTAATGTTTCTCTTCAGGCTGGTGACACGGTGAGATTATGGGGAAACTGATTTAGCTCAGCTGCTTTCCTAAAACGTTCTTTGGTTCAGTTTTACTGTTGCTGTATTACTGGGTTAAGTTCAGTGACTCTGGCAGAGCTCCGTCTGTGAGTGAACTGTGCGGTGAAGGGATCCTGTATAAATCCTCCACAGACATTTTAGCCCACTTATTCTGTGACCGTCACTCCGTTCATGCCCTGAAACGCGTTGCTCTGAGAAGAAAGAAAACACTGGACAGTGCCCGAGGTTCGATCCCAATCGGGAAAGAAGCGAAGTTCAGTTTCGATACGGAAGTAACCTCTGAGCTAAACCAGTGCGGAGGCCACTCTCTTCAAAGACTGTTTTAGCTCTGAGTGAACAGCGGAGGCGGAGACTAGGCTTCCGCCTTCACTGAGTGCCCCCAGCAGAGGACTGAATATTAGGGGATTCAAACCATCCTTACTTTATCACTGCAGTGTCCGTATCCGCAGTGCTTCTGTTATTTTAGCAGCGCAGTGTCTGTAATGTTACTTTATCAGTGTTGCGCCAACAGTGTAGTCTATCAGTGCAGTGTCAGTAGTGTTATTCTATTAATGTAGTGTCAGTGTCAGTAGTGTTATTCTATTAATGTAGTGTCAGTGTCAGTAGTGTTATTTCATTAATGTATTGTCAGTGTCAGTGGTGTTAATTTACTAATGTAACGTCAGTGTTAGTAGTGTTATTCTATCAGTGTAGTGTCAGTGTCAGTAGTGTTTATTAATGTAATGTCAGTGTCAGTAGTGTTGTTCTATCAGTGTAGTGTCAGTATCAGTAGTGTTATTCTATTAATGTAGTGTCAGTGTCAGTAGTGTTTATTAATGTAATGTCAGTGTCAGTAGTGTTGTTCTATCAGTGTAGTGTCAGTATCAGTAGTGTTATTCTTTTAATGTAGTGTCAGTGTCAGTAGTGTTACTGTATTAATGCAGTGTCAGTGCTGTTTATTAATGTAACGTCAGTGTCAGTAGTGTTATTCTATCAGTGTAGTGTAAGTAGTGTAAATTTATTAATGTAACGTCAGTGTCAGTAGTGTTGTTCTTTTAATGTAGCGTCAGTGTTAGTAGTGTTATTCTATTAATGTTGTGTCAGTTTCAGTAGTGTTATTCTATCATTGTAGTATCAGTGTTAGTAGTTATTCTAATAATGTAGTGTCAGTAGTGTTATTCTATTAATGTAACATCAGTGTCAGTAGTGTTATTCTATTAACGTAGTGTCAGTGTCAGCAGTGTTATTCTATTAATGCAGTATCAGTAATGTTATTTCATTAATTTATTGTCAGTAGTGTTATTCTTTTAGTGCAGTGTCAGTAGTGTTATTCTAATAACATAGTGTCAGTGTCAGTAGTGTTATTCTATCAGTGTAATGTCAGTGTCAGTAGTGTTATTCTAATAACGTAGTGTCAGTGTCAGTAGTGTTATTCTATCAGTGTAATGTCAGTGTCAGTAGTGTTATTCTAATAACGTAGTGTCAGCAGTGTTATTCTATTAATGTAACATCAGTTTCAAATAAACTCAAATAACATTTGGACCAAAAGAAATGTAAAAATTCATGTGTCACATGGACATTAATGGGTTACGTGTTAATTAAATGAAAAAATAAAATTTGGCTCTCTTTGTCTTAAAATGCAACGTTCTCGAAGTCCTAATGTATTACTAGCATCTGTTCGGCTCTAGATCTTTACTGTTTGTTTTAGTAGCAATGTTAAGTTCTAAATCTGTCTTTTCTGGGGAAGAAACCTTTCAAATGCTAAAATTACATACAAGGGTGCAGATCTTCTAAATGTGAGTTACTGCCAGATGGACATATGGGGTAAGCAAGAGTAATGAAGCACACTTTCATTCAAATTCAAGCAATATGCTTTAATATCAAAACAGTTACTGTAAGCTGGAATGTTATAATTCCCACATCTCTGTTGATTATTAAAATAACTCCTCAAAAAGTAAGCTATTGTCCAGCAAGGTTTGGGAAAAATGCAAGAGAAAAAAAGGGTACCAATGACAAAGCATATTCCTCTCAAGAAAATCAATGCATGTCAGAAGAGGGCATCTATTATGATGGTACTCTCAAATCAAGCTGAGCAAAGTACTTTTAATATTTGTGAATGCTTGTGCCTATTATTACAAAATAGAACCATTTAGGCAGGATTTACAGCTGCTTGAATTAAACTTCAGCACAGCCATGAAAGCCGATGACAACATTAGCTATGAGCCTCATGAGTTTATGATTCCACACAGGGAAAACACACTGCACGCAGTACAGTGTGATCCAGTGGCTTCAAGGGTTTAGATTTCAACGGCCCTACTTGATGTTCATGACTGAGAACGCAACTGGACTTTAATTAGGAAGGCTATTAGGGTCACTCTTATGGCTCCATTATCATGTGGTTGAGTTGATTAGTGTTCTTCTCTGAGCATGTTGTAGGCCCTGACAGTGATATAGGACCAATAGTTATAAAAGGTGCAGTGGCAGGAATCAGAGTGAAAGCAGACAGGTGAAAGCCTCTAGAGACGTGCACACCACCATCAGACTGATATGAACTGTTGCAGACTAACGCTACTGATGTTCTACTGTGGATAAAACTGCTGCACTTACAAATGGCCTTGAATACACTTCAGAGAAAATGGTTCAACGATATTACCACTTTGTGCTTTTACTAGTCATTTTGTACTGGAGCACCCCGTTACCAACACCAGGCAGTGCACCCATATTAACAAACTGTCAACCCATTATTATAGAACAAAATCACACATTGCTGGTTAAACAACAAGCAACAGCTACATACAGCCATAGAATTAGTTTCTTCAGGATTTAAAGCAAAACTCAAATTCCAAACATTACTTTCTGGTATTATTTCATTAATTTCAAGTAAACATATCCATTGTACTTGATACGTGAGAATTACTGGCTCTCTTACATTACAAATTCTGGAAATGGAAAACATTACACTCAGCAATGGTCAAACTCCTCCTCTAATTTATTTCAAGGGTTGTGAAGACCGCCAGTCCAGGTTAATGGTACGCTGCAAGATGTTGTGGTATGATGACTTCTCAGTTGCCTCGGCCTCAAATCACAACACTCCAGGCTCATCTGCCTTCATGGTAGATGCTGCTTATTTTCATATAAACGTATATAATTTCTGTTGCCATACAAACATATAAATACACCAATACTGCACGCCACTGGATTGAATTTTGAGAGTCTGGTGTACTGTCTCCAAACTGTTACACAGGTAGGCAGGCAGGCTAGAAAAATATTTCTTTAAGAAAGTCTTTAGAGTATCTCATACTTGTCAACGACAAACGAAGTCTCGATGGAATATTTCACTGGGCTGTCTCCTTCTACATGGGTCACTTTGGCCACCTGTAGTAACAAGGCAGAGATAAAGCAGTTTTCAAATGATTATTTTGCATACATGTATTTCCAGCTTTTTCATCAACATAAAATAATTGGCTAGCTCAGTAGAATAAATTTCCATATGAGAATGGGGTTTTACAAAACTTTAAAAGGGGGTATATAAAAGTACATAACTAAAATAATGTACATTGAATGTGTTATCACAGTATTACTTTACCCCTCACACATTTTTTCTCACAATCAACTCTTCTCCATTCTCTTAGCTTTATATGATGATCAACTGCGACCACATCACAACCGTGATGTTCTTGGTGGTAACATGCTCCGCCTTCGCCTCCACAACTGCTTAATTATTTTTTAGTCACACATATGTATTTCTGAATACATTGATCATCAGATATAAAAGGCTTATTAAAAAAGTGCAAGGTTTTGGTATTAAACATTGCTATTTAATTACGTGGAAAAAACAAGCCCTTTGTTTCTGAACAGCTAGCAAGAAGACACATGAGCAAGTAGGTCTTAACAGCTTATGTTTTCTTAATTCATTATTTAACAATAAATATACGTTTTAGGTGGTGGTCAAGAGGCAATTCTGGGGGGCCCTCAATAAAAACAGAGATAAAACTGTATTATGCCCCTGGATTGGTCCTGAAAACTACAAAACTGATTTAACTCACCTGAATGTCGCAGTAGTTGCGTCTAGACACAAAGGAGACACTGACTGGGAAGAAGTCATTTGGTTTGCCAGCTATGCTGAATTCCAGACTTCCACTCTTGTTATTTTCATCTATGACAGGTAGGCACCATTCAAGGATGTTTTTCCTGCTGTCATGACGATACTCCCCATCAATATCTCCAATGACAGGGGCACCTACTCCAGACCTGCAAAAGAAGAATGCATGATTAAACCAACAGCATTCAATTCTACGCCCTTTTCTGACTAGACATCATTTATTAAGTACTTACGGCACAGGGATGCTAACAATCACATCATTGAGTTCAAGGCTTTCGTCCTGGAGCTCGTATTCAATGTTGACATCGCAGTTACTACCACTTTCTGAGGGCCAGCAGTTTACTATAGAAAAAAAAACAAACAAACGTTACATTAGAGAAAGGGCACACCACAACTGAATACACTTAACAGTCACCAAATAATAGACAACCACTAAACATACATTTAGGAACTTTTTTTCAGGCAGAAGCCGTAACTCAGATCGTGCTTACTAGTTAAAGGGATGAGGGACTCATCTGTGCTCTGTAGCCTCCACTTCAGTACACCCACATCACTGTTGAGGGGGAAAGACTTCTCTGGGTTTTTCAGACCAATCAATGACTCTGCGGTGAACAGCTTCTTATCTACATTGGGGTGGGTCTGAATAAAAAGAAAAAAATGATTTTCTCTTATAGTATAGTAGCTCAGTATTGTGGGTGGGGCATAGACATAATATTGAGTCACTTCCAAATGTTATTTCAAACAGGCACAGATTTGCTAGACATCTTAATAAATGTTACAAGAGTCAAGAATCCTTAAGTGTTCAGTGTTTTTTCTAATTTTAACATATATAAAGTTATCTGTCAGGGCAGTATCAGTATCAGTTACACCAATTTCAGCAAAATCTGCATACAGCCTTGTTTGACCATGTAGCGTTTTCTCTCAGGATGTACACTCTACAGATCATGCAATCTCAAAACACTAGAACTCAAAAGCACCTGTAGCTGCACTCCTTTCTTGTCGTTGTTGTTAACGTGCAAACGGATACGGCCGTTTTTGTCATCCGACACCCTCAGGGTTATCATGCCCAAGATCTCCATGTTTTGCAGTCCACCATCCCGTCCACAGGTGAGAGATATCTTCTCCTCTATCTTCAGATGTACACTGAGCCATAGGAAAAACAGATGAGCACATGTTACATTTGGATGGACTGTAACTGCAGGTTTTAGTGTGTGAATGTATACGTTCACTACACAGCATTACTGATTAAATGAATTGAGGAAAGGCTGCTGATAAATGACTGCTACAGTACCTTTCAGTGTTCACCAGAGGTTGAAGGACTTTAGATGCTTCAGATGCTTTCTTTCCCCCACTGGGTATGATGATATTTTCACCCTCAGACTTTAGTTTGTCTACAAAGTTATCAACCTCCTTTCCTTTGGCACCCAGCTTTAGGGCTTTACTAGGACCACTTGGCCTGCATAACACACAGCTTTGTATCAATTTCCGCTTATACTCATGTATGAGCAGTTAGAAATTAACTGTAATGTACTCAGGTGAAGTCTAAGTTCTCAGTGCACATACCTAACTGGGGCTGGCGCCATTTTCGGCTTCTCTGGTTCCACAATTGAGTCTGTGATGATGGTGGCTGGGCTGATACCACTCATTCCTGAACTTCCAAAGCCTCCAAAGCCTGGCGCTTTTTTGCCGGCACGCTCAGCATCCCGTCTTGCCTGCTGCAACTCTTTAGCCTTCCGTCTCATCTCCGCATTTGCTTCTCGTTCTTGTGTCTGGCATAGGAAACAGAGATAAATCATTTATAACGATGCATCAGAACAGCAGTTTCAGAGAAGATACTCCTCACTGAAACATTGCAGCCAACCAACCTCTCTGACTGCACGGAAGACCTTCTCCTCATGTGAGTCCATCTCGGTGAAGGTACGGATCTGGGCTAGATTGACATTCTCCCTGTAGCCCAACGCAACAATCTCATCAAAAGCAAATATGAGATCAAAACAGTGCTCTGAGATCTCTCCCTCCTCCAGCACGCGGCAGTATTCAGGAATCTGTGAAGAGACACAAGCATGTAAAATACTAAGACAGCTGTACACACAATCAATGTAATGAGATGTATGAAAGTACACGGGGCAGAGAAAAGCAAAACATAACTACCACGCGGGAGAAGAGCCGTAACGTCTCCAAGTCCTCCAGAATGTTGCTGTTCTTTGTAGTGACAAGAACCATGTAGAGCTTCTCTAAGGGCTGGTAGACATAGCGCACGCTGTCTGTCTCCACAAAGGTGTGCTGCTTTCCTGTGCTCATCAGTTTAGGGAAAGCAGCCAAAAGACCCTCAATGCGAGTGCGCGTCATCTCTACAAACTGCCGTGACACTATGGCTTTTCCAGCCTTGGTGCACACTGCTGCTGCCAAGAGCACCTAAAACAGATTTTGAAAATGACATAAATAAATATGCAAAATCCTCCTGCTTCTTCCTGCTGACACAGAACCAAGTTCAAATCTTTAAAATACATATTTGTAATTTAAACAGCATTTTTATTTGGTGTCATGGTTATTAACTTTTCAAAATGACTGCTGCTAATCCACACGTCTAGTCAGGATCCCTTCTGAAATCTAGACCCGGTTGCCAATGCAATGCCATTGCAACAGTGTCCATCCGTTGACATATGATTTACTTGATCCTGTAGGTCACTTATTTAATCTTTCAGGCGTAGTATTGAATTAAAGCTCGTAGATGAACAGGGTGCCCAAAACTGGGACCAAAACCACGCAATAAAACCTTTACTACTAACGTATGAAGTCACAAATGATCTGTGTGACACTAACAAATGAATCGACAAGGCTTTAGCGTTTTCATACAAATTCTATTCACCGCAAATGAGTTTTAGCTGTAGTCTGCCAAGCATTGTGAAAGTATCAGCTAACTCATTATGTTACCTGGCCAGCTAAATGAGTTACTAAGGGTCATAAACAAATGATAACTTAGCGGTACAAGTTCGGGGACACAAATAACCCAGCTAGCTACCTAACACATCTAGACCAAATCGACTATTTAGATGGGAAATTATAAACTTTACACCTGCTTATACTGGCTTGCTAGGGATCTACCTGGCTGTACTTTTAGGGACTTACAGCTAAGCTAGTTAGCTAGGTTAGCTGACTAGCTACCTAACGTTAACATATGGCTAACTAGCTAACTTAGCTAGTTATAGTAAAACTCCAGTTTCCGTAATGCTTATTAACATGCATTGTTGTGGGAAACGGTTACACAAAATTATTGTTTTATAATGTTAAACTGGCTACGTGTCAAACTAATGTTAAACGCCGCGTCTACCGCCATTCAACCTACTTCGCTCCTTAGCTAGCCAGCTAACTTGAAGCTAGCTAGCAAGGCGGCTAACTAAGTAACTCCAGCTCGATTTATAGCTTATATAAATTGAACCCTACCATTTTCGCTCCGTCTCAAGGTGCTTAAATCCACAGTCGCACTAAGTATGGTGTTTACAAAACCAACAAACGTCAATATCGATGTGTCCTTTCCTGAAGGTGTCATGCAGTCCGAGTTGTAGCAGTGTGGAAAAGCAGAGCCACGTCTCCAACCGGAAAAAGTTCAGTCTCGCAGCCACGCAGCCCCGCCGCATCCGAGACGGCGCTTCAGTTCCCTGAACTCTCCTCAACAGAGCCAGAGTCTCTAACACCAACACCAACACCAACACACACCACACCACACCACACCACACCCCACCCCAAACACTCTGAGAGCGACATTAACCTCAGCAGAAACAGTTCCCCGGGAAAGGAAAGTGTTCAGTAAAGTTTAAATTTTGTTGCACTGATTATAATCAGAATCTTTATTGCCTACGAGATGTACACAGAGTTTCTCTTAGTGCAGGTGTCAACAAAGATGCTGATTATCTAAGTAAAACTAAGCGAACACATCCTCTACAGAGCTGTTACTGTTTATTTACTGAATCTGCTGGATATAGACATATATACTGGACATAAACACACACACATTATATGTACTCTCAACAAATATAGAAGAACTGAGCACAAAAGCAGAAAAAATGGCATTTCAATTTGTTCCCTATTGAATATCACTAAAAAAAATACTTTTACAAATGTATGTGTGTGTAAGCTGCCCACATCTACAGCTGTACATAAACATGTACTTCTGGTAAACGTCTCTGGACACTAAACATTTCCATATCCCGCATTTGTTTTGATCTGTTTCTGATTTTTGTCACTACTTTTAGTTCTTCTGATGGTTTCACACGTGACAGCACACAGCACCCACACGCTGAAGCAGAACTGCAGTGTGCTGATGCAGATGCACTGTTCCTCACACCAGTGAAAACCTCACAGTCTTACACTCCTGACAGTGCAGCACTGATTTTGACACGTAGATTTGACAAGTTTTTAAGGGTTTGTAGTTGTTTTTGCCCCAAGTTCCTGCCTACATTTGACCCCTGCTGAAAAAATAAAACAGCACAGCTGGTCACTCAGTATGCTCATGCAGGTTGACCAGCATACCAGCCTCCAAAACACAACCTATGCTGGTTTTGGTGGTGATTAGCATATTAACTTTCAGTGCTGCTGACCAGCATCCAAAACACAACATAGGCTTGTTTTGCTGTTGACCAGCAATGCTGGTTTGTCTAGCAGGGGCCTCTCCAGGTCTAGGGAATGTGGTGAAGTGAGCAGACTTAAGTGGCCCTCTAGTGGTGGAGAGTATGTATTGCCTCCAATCTATGTTTTTCTTCTCAGACTGGCCCTACTGACACCATACATATGAAATGGTAATGAATTTGAGTCTTGATACCCAATTTGACATTTCTGTGGAGTCTGGCATTCTCAGCTGGGGCTAAAATCACCAATGTTAGCTATTTAACGTTAATGTTATAAGAATTAACCTGGTGTTTCTAAAGGACACACTTCCTTTTACCTGTCTTGTAAGTGTTCTGATAATGTTTGCACACCATGAAAGATAATAAATATCTATAAAAGGGCGTAGCAGTCAAGCAAAAACAGACATTTTCAGGTTTCAGTTCCTTTAATAAGTCATTCTATGGTTAGCCACTGCCACTGATGCCAGTGACAGTTACACAGAAGTTCTAACGTCACATTTGGAGGTAAGGAAAATAAAGAATAAGGATTGTGTGACAGCAGAGAAAAAAGGGATGAACAGTCACACCCCTGCCCCCCAGTAGCCCAAATCCATCAAAACCCTAACATTCTGGTGTCTAATGACCTACTGTTTAGCCTCTTCTAAAGACCTAACTTGTTTTTGAGTTATTTGGCCAACTTTCTAGCCCTGACCATAGTTTATCTGGGTTAGTCTTAGAACGTAGACTTATAGAAAGTGTCTGAATGCCATCTTCCAACATTATCGCTGATAGACATACAATGTCACATGCATACAAAGATCCCCACACCATTTCTGACACATATAGTAATTCACAGTGTGTAACATATATTGGGTCCCAGTTACCACTCAGTATTGAGGTGGTACAATGATGTCAAACATGTCTTGTACAAGCAAATAGGACAGTGAACTGGCCAAAGATGACATTTCTCTCACTACACAATATCAACATCATGGCATCATTATAGGCTTCTTCAAATGCTCTGTGGTTTCCTCTTTTCATCTACAGCCTGTTCTCAGGGCTATGGTCATAACCATTTACCACCACCGCATGATTAAATAAGCAGTCTCAGACTGAAGGCTATCAATATAAAAGGCTGGCTACAAAGCTGCGAGACATTACATTGCTCTAAAGTGCACGTTTTTTCACTGATGACCTGTGGTTTAGTTCTAGCTCAACCATATTTTAGATTTAAAGACTGTTACACTGAAACTGTGGTCAGTTCACAGGTGCTGTACTTGAAAATGTACAGGCTATGTTTGCTTCTATAAGTCATGTTCTCAGAGGCAGTAGAAGAGCCGGATCTTGTGGGGCAATGGGAGGAGGTCTGAGCACGGAGGCAGGGGAGGGGTGCAGCTTCCACATGGGCCAAGTTACTTTGGTGCAGCGGCCTTTTCCTCGCAGGTGATGGGGATGCTGCGCTCAGGGATGTCCTGCAGGTTCCGGGCAGCAGAGATGCACAGCACGCCGTCGTAAGACAGACAGGAGGTGAAGGCCCCAGGGTCCACTCCCGATGGCACCTTATACTTCCTAAAGAACTCCCTCGCCACATAGCCATGCTCATCCTGCGAATGAATGGCAATGAAACTTCTCACAAATAGATGTTTAGCGCAGCAGACAATATTCATTCAGTGAAATATTTGTCCTCCATGTTGTAAGGATTTACCCCCAAACTCTAAGGAAATATAAATATCCAGACTTTCGTTCCACACTTTCATAACTGTGTATCATGCAGAGTACTTTCATAGAGGTTACTGAATAAGTCATAGCAGTTACTGGAGAACAGGATAATATAACTTAAGATAATTAACTGAATAATATGAGTTTACAGGGTCAATACTTTTCAAAAATGCTGCCTTCTTTTAGGTGTTCTGCTTATGTTTAATCACCATGGAAGAGAATAAGTGGTTGAGAGAAGGACTAAATGAGCTAAACCAGCCGTTCAGATTGCAGGTCCTTTACAGAGCTATTTTCCGCTTGAGGTCCACCTATAACATTTGTGTGGATTCATAAACCAAAAAAGTCATCATTCATTTTTACATAGCCATTTTTCAACCTTTCTTTACTGTGCCTTTAAGACTGATATATGTAAATGAGCTTTGGTCTACCCTCAATTATAGCTCATTCAAAAAGTAGTCCAGGCCAAATCACTCATTATAAAATCATTGTAAATAGGCAGGGCTAAACTGCTTTGGGCTGCATGAACAGATGTTTAGCCTCTTCTGAAAATCTAACTTGTAACTTTGTTCAACTTGTAGCCCTGACAATAGTTTATCTGGGTTTATCTGATGGACCCCTTTCTGGCATTTCTGACACTACAGTAAATCACACTGTAACATTTATTGGGTACCAAATATTCTGGTCAGCACCAATGACCAAAATCTATTCTATGTTATATAGGTATGTTTTAGTCGGCATCTAAATACTTAGAACATACACTTTATTCATGTAAGGACACACGTATTGTGTGAAGTGTTAGATCATCTCATGTGTGTTTTATTACCTGTCGCTCCTCATGTTTGCCATGAATCTCGACATACTCGTCGTTGACCTTGACTGACAGCTCTTCAGGAGAGAAGTGCTTCACATCCAGGTTGATTATAAAGCGGTCCTTATCCATTCTAACCTGCATATCAGAGAGTAAAATGCCTGGCATATCATACAGGAAAACATCTCACAATCAAGACTGAAATAGTAAATATCTTGCCCTCGCTGTTGTCATTAACGTGAGTTATTTTCCAAGTAATTTGTACTAAGATTGAAAAGACTGTCATTTTAAATACATTGCATGGTTCTCAGATAGATGCTACCAGGTAGACCTCTCTTACCTCGGACATGCCACCATCCCACCAGTTTGGATAGCGCCAGAAATAAGGCCGATAGTAGAACATGGCATAGAATGGTGCGAAAAATTCACTGTCCCACTGCTCCCCGAAGTGCTGATCAAAGATCCGGAAAGGGAAGAAACCTGGAAAGTAAGGCCGACGGAACCAGGGTTTCTGGATTGCTATGTCCATTATATCTCCTCCAAGTGGACTTTGGTTGATGGCTCTTGTGGATGTGCAGCTCATGCCCCTGCCCAGGCCCATATTTATGCTCCGATCTCCAAGCTCATGCCAACTACACACCCACCCGCTGATCTGCATCCAATAATGAGGTAAAGTGTTTGTGCAGCTCTCTTCCCCTCTACCCTCTGACATGCCCTGATGCAAAGCTCACCCCATGAGGACATAGCCACCCTGAGGTCATTCACATACAGAACCCTGGATTACTCTCAGGGATTTGAATAATGCTGATGCCCCTCCACTCACAAGCTCGGAATGATTTTTGTTTGGCTAGGTTAGACCGCTTTCGCCTGAAGCCTTCCGTGAATTTGGCTGGAGCCCCAGCGGAGGAAAGTGCCAAGGGATTCCGGATCGAGTGGCCTGGCCCAGGACACAGCCGGATGCAGTCTGCTTCCACTCAGCCCTGCATCAATGGAGAACTCAGGCAGAAAGATAATTTGAAGCCCCCCAAAAACGAGTGGGATTGCAGCCCTCAGCAAGATGGGTGATCCGCTGTGAATCAGCCAGGATAAAAGGACCTTCCAGCCTAGCAGTAGCACACTCACCCACCTGCAAGCTGTGGAAAGTCTCATACCACTCCATGTACAGTACTGTGCAAAAGTCAGAGACCAGCCTTCACTTATTTAATTTCCAGTCAAAATGGCAACTGGGTACAAGTTATTAATTTTTCAGCAGATATATCAAAGTTTTCGTCTTTTAGAGATCCACTTCCGCTCTAGCTTCTGAAAACAATCGACAGGTGTTTTTGTCCATCCTTCTCCTGTGAAAAGACAATGCAATGCTGTGAGCCTGAAAGGATGTGTAGCTTCCAAGAAGCTGTTACTGAGAAAAAGAACACTGGCAAAAAAAAAGAAAGAGTCTAGACTTCAACATCTTTGAATGTGTTTAGGATTATTTGGATCATAAGAAGCAGAAAACACAACCAACTTGTAAGACTGAACTTTGGAGGTGTGGAAAAATATCCCTGCAGATTTCTTGGAAAAGCTGAAAGCAGGACACTCGAAAAGAATGGGGGCTGTAATAAAGGCAAAGAGTGAACACACTAAATACTGAAAAGTGAAATTATATTGAGCTGTTCTGTATAATTTTCTGTTATATATGTTTTGTATTACTTTTCCCTGATGCTGAAAAATGGATAAATTAATGGCTGTTTTGACTCAAATTAATGAAAAGGCTCTGATTTTTGCACACTACTATGTGTGGAGGTATGGAAAGGCTAGAAATGGACAGAAATGCTGCCGTTCCCGCATAATATCAGCAGACCTCTTGTCTTCCAAGTTACCATGGAAACAAACCTGACATTGTACCAGTTCTTGGTAAAAATGACTTATGTGTAAAATGAAAAAGGAGTCAAGAGAGCAGGATGATTCCCTTTTTACAATAAGAGAAGACTCCCTCCAACATTATTTTTAGCTCTTGTTCTTGGTTGAAGCACTTTATGAGGACAATTTCATGCTGTCTCAGCACAAAATGCCATTCGTTCACTTGCTTTTATCAGGAAAATTGAATGGGAATAATGCTGCAGTCGCATATCTACAACAAATCAACTGTAACACCAAAATGTTTGACTGGAATGAAATACACACACACACACACACACACACACACACACACACACACACACACACACACACTTTCTAAGCCGCTTATCTTTCTGGGTCATGGGGAGAATTAAACATAGACTTGGCAGCAAGTAAAACACTATGTAACATTAAATGATAAATGAACAAATTATATATCAACTATAACAGATTAACAAACATATTAAAACATAACAAGAATATTTTGTTGTTTATCACATTTAGAATAATACAGACGAAGAACAAAGACTGGAAGAATACATTTAGAAAAGCATTTGGTGTTTCACTCCTCTGTGAACTCCAGCCACTGTATCACTTTGTTCAATATCGTCAGCAGCACCTGATTTAATTTAATGAAGCACTGATTAGCTGAAGCAGGTATTGGATGTTAACTGTAAATACTGGTCTTCCTCAAAGAGAGCTTTGGAAATAGTGAAGCTAACATGCTGATATATATAAACTCACAATTGTTTATTTGTTTGTCATTTCTTCTAATGTTGTTTTTTTGGGCTAATAAACATGAATTGCCCAAATTATTGTAAGTTTGCAGTTACTAACCAAATATTATTTGGATTATTCTGAAACATTTCTGAATTCTTTTTTTTATTGTTTTTCAGTTCTATTTAATATTGTGGGAGTTGTATATGATCTGATTATATGAAGAAAGCTGCAGTTAAGCTGTCTATTTTATCTCAGCATGGACATCTTTGCAGAGAGGTGTGAATTGTTTTCACAGCAGGGAGTTCTCATCCGTCCTCTTCCACCCCTCATTGCTTGCTAGCAACTCAACACAGAGTCACACTCCAGTTAGTCTGTTAACAAAGATACGGGGAAAAAATATTTAATTATTTAATTACATAAATAAAAAATATGGATTGATTTCCATTCTGCCCAGCAGAATGGCTACAAGGGGCCTGCAAAAAGAGGCTTTATAACTATCTTAGCATCATTACTGGGTCGAAGTACTTTCTCTAGATATTTCTTCACACATGTGACTTAAATCAATACATTTTAGTTTGACAAAAGGCACCTGTTAGTGCTTGTTATATCCACACAATGGTTGCCTGAGAGCTCAGGACATGATTTAATGACATACAGGCATTGCTTATGACTGTTTTTGGTGCCTAGTCTAGTGCTGTTTTAAAGCTGGCTAGGAACTGATGCAGTACAACTTGCTTCTTGGTGGAATTTCCTGAATGAATGAAACGAATAGAGGTACCACTGTAGTAATTCTCTAAGCTCTTATTCAGACAGTTCAAAATGTATTCGTTGATTTTAACAAATAGAAGATGCTCAGTGCTCACACCCAGCCCTCCAGCCTGGTGGAAGCTTTTGCCACTACATCCCCCCACAGCCCCCCTTCCCAGACCCTCGGTGGGAGCTGCTTGGTGGGTGAGGGAGGGGTGAGAAGGAGGAGACGGAGGCGGAGGGGGAGGGTAAACACACCAGGGCTGAGCCGTCTGTGCTCAAACAGGAACAAGGGAGGGGGATGACCAAGGAGGGAGAGAGAGAGAGACATGGGGAGGTTGTGGGAGAAAAAAATCTCTCTGACTAACCCCAGAGAACAACAAATCTGCTAAAAGGAGAGGACTTGCACGATTTTGTAAGCAGTGTGCTTGAAGAAACAGGCAGGATTCGGCAGACGGATGGGATGGCATACCACTCCGTTCCTCTCTTCTGTCTTGTTATGGCTTGGAAATGAAAATGGGAATGCCTCATACTTCTTATCCCGGGAGACAAGCAAATGCTGACCGGGGTTTTGGATTTTATCTCTGACTGAACATGCTGGAAAGGATTTAGTCGGGGTCTTTACTCCACTGGGCCATCCCATTCTGGGGATCTTGCCAAACAAGCAGAGATTTGGATTTGTGCTGAAGCTGATTGAGATACTGAAGCTGGGGGCTGCTCCCCATCGCCGCTGGACTAGAGTTGATTGCCCCATGCAGGCTGCTTTTGTTGTGTGCACACCCTTTTTAACGTGGCCACTCTATTTGCTATGGTCCTGCCCCTTCGCTCCAGTACACGCCACAAATTGAGAAGGAGGACCAGCATGGGAGGTTAAGAGAACAGCTTGCAGCATGGGAGCCAAACCGATGAAATGGTATGAATGAAATTCCTCGCTTTCAGTTCATGACTTGTAAACCCTTCTTCTTCTCTTTCCCTCTCTGTATCTTTCTCTCTCTGTCTCCTGTCCTCTCGCCGCATACTCCATTCCAGACAATACAGCAAACAGACACAGTCTCCATTGTGTAGTGCCCATTTTTCATCTGCTAACCTTATGCTGTAGTGTTGTTCTCCATCAGTTTTGCTGCATTGTGTTAATCTAATGGGCATGCTAGGCTTTGTCAGGTGTGAAACAGGCTTAAGATTCTTCATTCTTCTCTTAAGGATGAGCTGTGTGCTTCAGTCTGAGCCTCCATGAGTGTGATGGGTGTTTCTGCCCAAGTAATATTGCCTAGCAACCGCTAACCATTGCATGTAGAATGGTCAGTGCTGTCCATCCTTCTGTTCTTATTAGAATTCTATGCCGAATTTTACCCTTGATTTGTGTAGATGCAGTAAGTATGATAGGATAATGACACTTAAGAGTGGTGGGGGTACTACACAGGGCTCCATGCCAGCAGCTCATAATCGGTAAAGAGTAGACTGCATTGACAGGTCATGTGATTCATTTTCATTCAGTGTTCATGAAGTGCGGAGGCAGTACATTCCTTTTAACATCTCTGACAGCAGATTCTTCATATGCCTGATAAAATAGGCCACTGGCTGCTGGTTACTTGGACCGGCCTCAAAACATAGAATTAGTTTACTAATGTGGGGATGACATGCTTTAACAGAGCTCAGCACTGGAATATGGAGCATGGATGAAACATTTTTTTCTTTTCGTTTATTAATTTCAAGGCAAAACAAAAAAGGTTGAAGCTTGTTTTACACTGAAATAGCATATAGTTGCTCCAAAAATATTGGGACATTTTATGCTATACTTAAAATCTATTAAGTTTGTTGTTTTAAGAAAAATAAAATGTCAAATCAAGTGGCATTTATTTTAAACAGATCATTCCAAGACTGTTATTTCCTTTTTTCAAAGTATTCTTTCAACAGAAAGATCGTTATCATTCAAGTTGAGCAGTTTCTTTGCAGACTTTTGCAGGTTTGCATCCAAAATGCCTGTGTATATTTCATGATCTCACCAATAAACACAAGCTCATCCACACCATTGTAAGAAATACAGCCCCAGTCTTTAACTTTCCACCTCTGTGCTTTACAGTACCACACACAGAGTCTACCATCAGCTTGCTGTTGTGCTAAAAGTGTTTTCTTCTGAAACAAATATAATTTTAAATTGTGTCTAAATACTTTTTGGGGCCACTGTAACCTTAACTTAGTTAAGACTGTTAATAAAAG